GCCGCTGCATTGTGTCATTACAACCCAAATAGTAAAATTATTTGAGTTGAACTATCCCATGAGAAAGAAGGATTATAACACGAATGATTTATCATTTCGGACAAAGCAAAGGCTACTTACTATGTTCCAACGACCCTTCTAGTGTCGGCTTGGTCTTGATTGCTTCCAAAAATCTTTGCCATGCCGAAATCTGAAATTTTTGGATTTAGATCTTCATCTAATAGAACATTACTCGTCTTTAAATCTCTATGAATAATCTTTAATCTGGAATCTCTGTGAAGATAAAGAAGGCCTCGACCAATCCCTTCAATAATCTTGGCACGTTTTCCCCAATCAAGGAGTTTTTGCTTGATTGGATCTGAAAGAATATTGAAGAAAAAAAAAATGGTAGGTTAAAGTTGTAGGGAGAATAAAATTGTTGTTGAGACAAATTATAGTTTTAGAAGATCAGTGTGTTCCTAAAGACTACAAAAGGAAAGGCATTATGTCGTCTCAACACAAGAAGTTCCTGCTGATGTTAAGGTTATGAAGTTGTAAAAACTAGAAATAACATAAACAACATTATCATGAACTAACCAAAAAGAAATGCATCCAAGCTTTTATTTGGCATGTATTCATAGATCAACAACTTTTCTTCTCCTTCCACACAGCAGCCAAGAAGTTTAACAAGATTGCGATGCTGGAGTTGGGAAATTACCACCACCTCATTCATAAACTCCTCCAGCCCTTGTCCAGAGGATCTCGAAAGCCGCTTGACAGCTATATCTTGTCCACTTGGCAATTTTCCCTGAAAATAAATTATTATTATTATTATAATTATAATTATTATTATTAGTAAAGTGTAAAGCTCCAGATGAACAAGCTTACCTTGTACACTGGACCGAAACCACCCTGCCCGAGCTTATTGGCGAAATGAAATTTGTCTGTTGCAATTGCCAGTTCCTCAAAATTGAATAGAGGCAGCTCTTCAAATTTAGGATTCACTTCCCCTCTTTTGTGTAGCAAATTCTCACTTTTTTTCTGAATCAATTTCTTCCTTCCTGATTCAGAATTTAGTAATATGTAATATATATAACAACAGAAAACATGTGCTAATCTCTCGAACAAATTTCAATGGACAATATACCTTGTCGTCTAGCCATCCGCCACCATGAAAGATAGATACAGACTGCAACTGTTAATGACACTATAAGCACTGCAACTGCAATAACTAGTTTTGTGCTTCTCTTTTTTCCTGTAATACATAACAAACTTTGAGAGAGTACTTGAGTTAATATGGATTACAGAATTGAGAATTTATACAATTTCCATAGTTCTTTTTTCTGTTGGCAAATGGGAAAAAGTATTACACTTTCGCTTTTAAAATTTAAAATAGACTGACGCATTTTCTAAACTAGAGTACAGATGTCAGGTGGCTAACATGTTTAGTATATGCAATGGTTCAAATTCAAGTGATATTTGCTTATTCTGAATCATCAAGTAAAAGAAACAGAAGAAGCAAAAAGGGATTATTAAAAGCATGTACTATTATTATTATTATTTTAATTTTTTTATGGATGATGAAAAAAATTACCAAGTTCTGAATATGCCACGCGAATGTAAAGATCTGCCCCACCATAGGAAAATTCCTGTATGTCAATTAAGTCTGCACTCCACTGCATACAACCAATGCCACTATAATATGCATAAGCTATACAAGAACAACTATTGAAGCACTGGCTTTTGCAGTTGTCTTCTGAAGCAAGTAGCCCCGCAGCAAAGGCCGGCACTTTCACTGTCTTTAGCTTCAGAAACCCATCTTCTTTGCCTTTCCACCACTAGTGTTGTTTCTCTCACACTTCAATTGTCTCCTCCTTACACATCCACTGGTCCAATTTCCTCTACTCCATTCCTCCATATCCTTTGGATCAAACCCTTGTAAACATGTGCAAATTGGTGAACCCTGCACATTGCAGCTCCCAAATGGACCACACTTGCCATAAACATCACATTCACTATCTGGAACCCACCCCCCAATTCCCCAAGTATCCTTTCCTTTTTCCTGGTACTTCTCCCTTAGAGTTCCATCAGAACTTAAGGCTAAGTAAAACAAAGAAGACTCATTTGCATAAGTATAGCTTAATGATACGTTTCGTTCTTTGTCATCTACAACTTCAAATCTGCTATAGTACACGGAACGCATTTTAGGTACGCCAATAAAAGTCTGTCCATTCCATGGTCCGCTCCGCCAATATGGATGACTACGATTCCATATATATTGTTCTGGAATATTCAGAGGATTGATGCCAAAAGTGAACCTTCCACTGGATGGATTTGAAGGGCTTTTCCATGAGATCAGCTGAGTCTTCTTATATGTAAACTTCTTGGTACTAATTTTCATCCCCTGCAAGAAAGAATCAGAAGGGTGTTCAAAACTCTCCCAAAGTATATTTCCATTGGATTCATCTCGCAAGATAAGATTCCCAGAATCTGAAAGCCGGGCACTTGAATTCGGCAAAGAATTTGGAACATCTGATGACCAAACAATCTGTTTCTGTCCATCCAAGACTACAAGATTTCCATCCTTGGATATTGTCACTGTCCCAGAAGAGTCATTGAGAGGCTTATCTCTATTGGCGACCCATACCACAGCCTTCGCAGAGATGTCGTTGTACCAGATACCAACATACCGGTTGGTAGAATTAACAGGACCAAAAAATCCCAGTTTGAAGGTGGCACCATTGGAGACTATAGCTTCAGTGTCTTTGATGGGTTGAGTTGACGTAATTGTGTCTATGGCAGTGCAAATTTCTATGGTACAAAAATAGTAACATATGAGAACAAGGATTAGAAGAAGAGGCATTAAGCTAGCTTGAACCATGGCAAGTCCAATAACGCTGTTGAGTGCTTGTGGTGAAGATGGAAGGTGTCATGTCTTCTGATCTGTTTTCAAAGGACATCCATGCATTTCCTTGACAAAATGGGGAGCCGAAGGTTCCGCCACCACTGGATGGATTGAAGGAGGACCCATAGCTGAAAATTCAGTATTCTTTCCTTTTTTTCCACAGGGGTACCCACAGCTGAATAATTCAATTGTCAATTTCCTCATGAATCTTAACAAAAGAGCCGAAAACTTTGAACCAAATGGGGAGGTCTTCCACCACTGGATGGATTGGAGGGGAACCCATGGGCCACAGCTGAAAATTCATGTTATGAAATAAGGACGGAATAGGAATTTATTAGAACAATAGAAAAATAATGGCAAGAAAATAAATAAGCACACACACAAACGAGACAAGAATTTATACGTGGTTCACCAGCACAAATAGGGTTACGTTTACGGGTAATAATGATTCGTATCACTGTAAAGAAGAAGATTACAAATTGAAGAATATGATTCTTCCTCACAATAATCTCTCTTCTCACACCACTCACTCACCAACAAAGAAGACTCACTCAACACTCAAGAAATACCCCAAATAGTATATGATTTACACAAAGAGAAAAACTCACCCAAATACAAACTTCAACTCTCTCTTAAAGATTATACACACAAAAGAATTTTCTCACACACACAAAATTAATATACTCTCTTGATCCGAATATTGTCTTACTGTTGGATGCCTCTTGGATGATTTCATAGCATGAGATTCGTTAGACATATATATAGGCGGCAAAGTGGGCTTTAGTGAGGTGGCAATTTACTTGTTCTCCAAGAACCAAACAGCTGTCATAAATTGTTGACTAACCTTGGCATGCAATGAGCTGCTCCAGCAATTGATTTGACGACACATGATAGAAATGTGGGCAAGAAGAATATACAAATTTTTGTCCACCAAGAATGATCCAAGTTGGCAACTTATAAAGAATTTGAGCCAATAAATAATGACGCTAATGATGACGCGAGTAACACGTCATCTAACAAATAATTATTCTTTCCTTAGTATTATTATTATTATTATGTGGGTAAATGAACTCAAGGGAGCAACCAAGGCCTATAGCGAGCAAGTTGCAGCAGCAACTAGACAAAAAGAGATCCTTCAAAAGGGAAGAAGACGTGATATCTCATTACAGAGGTCATAAGGAGCAGCATCAACATCAAAATCAAGAGTCCATCAACCATCTATTTTTCACCAACCAGGCTTGCTCACTGCTGTAGAAGGCAGAGCAGGTCATCCTGGGTAGCAGTCTGCCTAAGAATGGCAGCATTCAAGAGTTTGAGAAATGCAAGCTTACTACTGATTGCCCTCCTAATCAGACAGATAATGGTCTGAGGAGAAGAAGCCTTGCCTCTGTAATCCCTGTCATTCCTTTCAATCCAGATGAAGTACATAGTTGCATGAAGATCAGCTTATGAAGAAGGGATGAACTTGCATTACCAGACCGGTTGTTGGAGAACCAATTGACAAGGTTGAACCAGTTAGTGGCTGGAGGGGAGAAGCCAGCGTTGTAAGCAAAAAACGACCATATGATGGAGGTGAAACTGCACTGAAAAAATAGATGGTCCATGGACTCAGCATTTGACAAACAAAAATGGCAGGCATTTGACCAATGAAGGTTAGCCATAGCAGGGTTGTCTAGTGTTCTCAATCTTCCCTTTAGAGCAAGCCATGTGATGAAGCTCCACTTGGGTACATGATACATAAACCATATAATGTGTGACCAAGCACATAAAGGTGCAGGAGGTGAGAAGTAAGAGAGGGTAAGGGAGAAAGAAAAGGAATATGTGGGAGAAGCAATCAATTGAATGGAGTCTCTATCTGAATTAGGTGGGGTCTTAGAGAGAAGCTGGTTGGTGAATAAAGGTGTATGGAGGTATGGGATGTTGTGTTAAATGAAATGTGCCATTGATTATAGGAGATAATGGTATCATAGTGGAGCGAAGTTCATGCTGGTTCATAGCCACCTATTCAGGGTCTAGGTGGTTGATAATGGGACCATTTGGCATCCAGTAGTCCAAACATAACATGGTTTCAGTACCACAACCAACCCTGTGCCTTATCAAACCCCTAGCCATATCTCTAATCTTCAGCAGTCTCCTCCAAAACCCATAACTGAGAGAAGAGGGCTTTATACTCCAGAAGCTCTTGGTCTTGATAAGGTATTTGAACCCAAGAGGACCACAACCTGCTGTGCTTGAAGAACAATAAATTCCAAATGTGTTTTAGGTTAGCAACCCTGTTTGCAAGGTCAAGGTCTGGAAAACCAAGGCCACCATAAACTTTAGGCCAGCATGCAGACACTTTGCCAAGCAACCTCAGCCCGTCTTCTTCATATCATGACCAGTCCAAAGGAAAGCTCTCAATATTTGATTAACCAGATCAATAGCCTTCTTGGGGAGAATAAAGGACTGAGACCAATAGGAGTGTATAGCAATTGAAATGGCCTTAATCAGGACTGATCTACCTGCATAGGAGAGGTACCTAGCTGTCCAACTCCCAACCCTATTGGTAATTCTGTCTACCATGGTCTTGCAGTCCCTGGCTGAGAGATCTTGAAGATGTCTAAGCCCACGTGCATAACTGGGAGGGTACCAGTTTCGAAGAAACGATATTGAGTATAGCAGTTTAGTCATCAGGATGAACCCCATAAAGGATAGAAGAACTCTTGGTATGATTAATGCAAAGCCTAGAAAACTCAGAGAAAACACACAGACCATTGTAAAGGACTTGAACTGATTGGGGGTTGCCAATGAGAACAGCAAGATGTCATCAGCAATACCAGGTGAGTTAAGGACAGCTTGCTACAAGTGGAATTTGAAGGATGTGGAGTTGGAAATGTGATTGGTAATAATGGAGGATAGCACCTCCATAGCAATGACAAAAAGGAGGGAAGAGATGGGATCACCTTGCCTAATTCCTCTCCTACCCTTAAAGAAACCAAACAGTTCACCATTTAAAGACATGGAATAGGAAGCAGTGGTAATACAAAGCTTAATCCAATGGATGAACAAGATGGGAACTTAAAGAGAAACAGTGCATCAATGATGAAGTGCCAGTGAATGGTGTCAAATGCTTTCCTTAGATCAATTTTCAATGCGCAACTAGGTTGAGGAGAATGCCTATGGTATCCACTCAGAAGCTCATGTGCAAGGAAGGTGCTCTCATGGATGCTCGGCATTTTGGTTTGGACTAATGATAAAAGGTAGAACTGGTTGCAGTTTTAAGGGCTATCAATTTGGAAATACACTTGTATATGATGTTCCAACAGGAGATAGGCCTAAAATCATCGACCCTGGGGGGGTTGAGAACTTTGGGAACCAAAGCAATACAGGAGCAGTTTATTTCCTTCGAGTTTTGCCAGTGATGAAGTCTTTAATAGCACCAGTGGTTTCATTACCTATAATAGGCCAGGTATTCTTGTAGAAACAAGAATTAAAGCCATCTAGTCCAGGACTCTTGAATTGGTGGAATGAGAAAAGGCATTGTTGAATCTCGAGGTCAGTTGGTACGTGTACACACAAATTTTGTAAGTCTGCAATAGAAACAAAATATGGAGCAAATAATATAATATTTTATTAATTTGGATAGATGGGTACACTCCTCTGTAATATTCTTTACAAAAGAAAGAATTTGTCCTCTGATTCGATCCCCTTTTTTTGGTTAGTTGGATCCAAGGGCTGCACAAGCTTGATCTTGAATCACCGTGTAATTTGATGAAGAACGACACGTCTTTGGCGTGCTTTTTGTTGATCACCATGGAATTTGAGAAGAACGACACGATTTGATGTGCTTGGTGTTCTTCGCTTTTGGGTTTGGATGTTGGGGATGAGAGTTTCTGTATTTCTCTTTGGAATTCTAGATTTCTGAGTTCTGAATTTGTGTACCCCTTCCTTCTTCCTCCAGGCCTCTATTTATAGGCTTTTTGGATTAATAGGATGATGACACATGTCATCTCCTGATAAGGATAAAATTATAACTGGGCCGGGCCAGTTATATTGTGATAATTATTCTTAAAAATAATTTTTTCAAATATATTTTGTTAAGAATAATTATCTTTCCATTTAATTGTCTGGGCTGGGCTAATTAAATAATTTAAGTGGACCAAACTTGAGCCAATTAAACAATTTAATTAAACATTAAACCCATATTTAATGGGTCAATTTGTCAACACCAAAGTCCATTAAATTTTTAATGTCTACAAATTGCCCCCACTTCGAGTCCCATGTTTAACAGGATTTGTTTCCTTTTTCAAGTGGGACTCGAAGTATCCAACTTTCTATTCTTCTTTTTTTCTTTTTTTCTTTTTTCGCTTTCCTATCCAACTTTGAATTATAATTCTTCACTTTCCAATTTGAATTGAATCCCGCAAATCCTGCAAATCCTTTAATATGTCACCATGCGTTCCATATCACTTCCAGTGTTTGTTGAACACTTGTATGCTAAATTGCAACATCTGCCTTGGCTAATTATATAAGCAATCAGAACACTACTGGTGGTATGTCTTTGGTTCCATTTTTTTTCCATAATGATCATATCACAAATGTACTGCCACACATAATGACCAAGTCTTTGTAATCACTTTTTTTAATATATCTTTTTTTTTTTTTTTTTCCTAAATGAAGGAGTTTTTATAAATATGAGCAATATGGTACAAAGACAAATAAGGGAATACCCTTACCAAAATAAAACAAAACCCTTAAAAAGGGAATACAAAATGCTCAAAACAAGCCAAAAAAAAGAGAGCTACAGGATATCCTGAAGGCATACCCCCATGATATCAAGTACCTCCCAAAGAATACACTTTGCTAAATCCTTAGACTCTTGCACTATATCATTATGCATTCTGTTATTCCTTTCACCCCATAAAAATTATAAGGAAGCTGTAAACAAGATCCTTGCCATCTTCATCTTCCTCCCCTTCCCTTGATATTGTTGAGTAAAGAACTCTGCCAACTCATATATCCATTACAAACTTGAGCATTCACAATACAAATTCCTTCAAAATTGTGCCATACTTTTCTTGTGTACTCACAGCAACAAAATAAATGATTAATGCTCTCCACTTCATTGTAGCAAAGAAAGCATCTAGAAACCAAAGCAAAACCTTTTCTCTGTAAATAAGAGTGAGTGAGAATGGCATTTTGCATTACCAAAACTGCATGAACTGACCACCTAGGTCTCCCCCCACTCCAGCACAAACCAGCCCAATTCAATTCCTGCAACCTGAAACGAGTAGCTTCCCAAGCAGCTTTAAAACTAAATGTGGTTACCCACTGAATTTCATCCACTTCGCCATGAATTTTCTGATTTTGGAACATCTGAATTAGCTCATGAGAAGTATTATTCAATTGAGATACATCCCCTTCTCCCTCTATAATAAGCTCATGCATACTGATATTTTTATTCCTACTTAGGCACCGTAACAGCCTATGGTTAAATAAATCACTTAGCATCTTCCCTTCACACCATAGATCCAAGAAAACTTTTACATTTAGACCATCACCAATTCTATACCTGCAATTTTCCTTGACAACATCACGAACAGCTAATAAGCTTCTCCACATAGCAGATGAATTAATCCTAGGAACAACATTCCAAAATGATGAAGTTCGCAAGTAACAGTGCTGAAACCAAGCAACCCAAATCCTGTCTTTTGAAAGTAAAGAATTGTAATACCCTGATAGTTTTAAAAGATTTATTAATTAGGATTAATTATTTTATTTTATTTTTCAATGATTTATTTTATTTTATTGAGTGCTAGATTAATTATCTTATTTTAATTAAGTTATATTTCGTGATTATGTATGATGATTGATTGTTTGTGTGGTTGATTATTGATTGAATTATTGGTGTGTTGATTTTATTGGTATTATATGACTTAGTTGTAAATTCTTGTTTGTTTATGTGCTTCATGTAATTAGTTATTTTAATTTCTGTATTTAATTAATTATCTTATTTATTTAAATTAATTGGATTGGGCTTAAGGAAAGTTGGACCAAAAGATGTGGTCTTGGGCTTGTATGAAACCTTATTGGGTTAATTAATGAAGGTCCGTGGTTATTTAATTATTTAAATGATCACTTTTGTATCAATTATATATATATATATATATATATAATTATATATAAATATAATTAATTAATAATTGTTATGGAAAGATATATATATAGATATATATTTATTGATATTTATAAGTATATATGATTTAATTAACTAATGAGTTAATTATGGAAGGAATATATATTTATATATATATATGTTTATAGATATAAATTATTTAAAGATTATTATTTTAATTCATAATACTAGTTGGAATATGATTTGGAATTTAAGGTGTATAAAAATACACATAAGGCTTTAGGGTTAAAGGTTTTACACGTTAGAAAAATAAAACAGACAGAGAGAGAGGAAGAAGAAGGGCTGACAAGGAGGAGGTCGGATCTGAAAAGGAGGACGTCGGAATTGGAAGAGATAATTAAAGCTTAAAGCGTCGGTTTCATTTCGAAACCTTCAGGCGAGTTTTCTCTAACTTTCCTCTTAGAACTCATAAGGATTTCACCTTGAGTATCAAGGCTTTAATTAAATTTATTTGTTTAAAAATTATGGTTAGATCGGAATAATTAAAAAGTATAAACTATTATATTTGATTTTTAGATTATTGGATTTTAATTGATATATATAGGTGTTATGTATATTTTAAAATCAATCTATAGGTGGATTTGTGACCCAAGAGAGTTAATTATGGTTTCTTTATTTTCTAGAATTGTTCTGTAATTTTCTGGAATTTTTCTGATATTTTTAGGAATTTATTAGGATTTATTTTCCTATTATTTGTTAGGAAAATAATTATATATATATATATATATATATATATATATATATATATATATATACTAGGTAACTGGCGCATGTGGAGCGGCGGCACAATAAAGAATTGATCTAGTGCAGCGCGGTGTAGGATAATAGGGTGTATACGCCAATTAGGGCCATTTGATTAATTAAACTTATGTGAATTGATATGGTGCATCGCGGCGCATAAAAGTTTGGTGCGCAGGTGTATCTGGACCATAGAAGTGGTCTGGTCAACTATGGGATTATTTGGTGTATTGCAGACCATGAGAAGACGGTGCACTCGCTGATCTGGACCTTAGATCTATTATAGTTAATAGAAAATAATCTAGTGTGAGCGTGTTCATTTGCGCACTCATTTATGACCAATGGATGCGGCATAAAGGAAGTGATGGATTCAGTGTGGTGAGCTCACGGTAGCAAAAAGAGCTTAGCCAATACCAGCACACAAGGAGGCTTGAATCCAGTGCGTGCAAGTGCATAGTAAGCACGTGGGCGCGCGTGGGAAACTATGTTGGCCTAATTCGACACTAGAAATTAAAACGGTCATAACTTAGTCATTTTAAATCGAAATTGGGTCATTCTTGAGCTCAAATTTAAGGATTTTTCGTCTTCTTTCCAATGGTACCAATTTCATTATCAGATTCCCATCCTACTAGGAGATATTTATGTTTTAGTGAGAAAGTGTCGGAAAACTATTTAAACCAATATGGAGTATTTAAAGGAAACTATTTCTGACATATTTAGTTGCACTAATTTGTGTAAATATAATAAATTAATAATTTGTTATGGAAGGAAGTGTATATATATATATATATAATATATATATATATATATATATATGTATGTATGTATGTATATTGATTTTAAATAATCAAGGATTATTAAAGAAGGTGTTAAACACATATATACATTAAATAACATATGTGTAGGTATATATATATATAAATCATTTAAGATGATTAATATTATCATTCTTATTTGGCATATCTTAATAGGCTGGTTGTTAAATTAATGATATGCGTATAATATGCATGTGATGGCTATGTATGATTTAGCGTATTGTTAATTTTAAAGTTAATTCATGGTTAAAGTGTGGGCATGGATGAATTGTCAAATGATTAAATATATTATCTAAATATTTGTATGAATAGAATACATATATGGAAAGCATGGATGAATTGCTAATTAAATGTATGAATAAATATACCTGTGGAGGCATGGTTGAATTGCTAATGTATAAATATACATACACGGAGGCATGGTTGAATTGCCAATGTATAAATAAATATACTTATGGAGGCATGGTTGAATTGCCAATATATAAATAAAAATATTTACAATGGCATGGTTGATTTGCCAAAGCATAATTACGTTGTTATGTGTTAGATGATTAAAATATCATCTATGGTTGTTGTATGTATGGATTGGATTAGGGTTAGATATTCTTAAATGAGAATAGTTTAGTACTTACTGGTTAGTGTATTATTTTACATTAATAAAATAAAATTGGGGAAGACGTGGATGATTTGTCAAAACTTGGATTTTGGATATGTGATTTAAACAATTAAAATCATTATCGGGTTGGAATTAAATAGAGTATTTCTTTTATTATAATTTGTTGTTTAAATGATTAAACAACTGACTAGGATGGGATTAAGGTCAAAGGAGTTTTTATAAAATGAAATGGTAGATTGGTCTAGGTATGAATATTATTTTAATAATTATTTAATAGGTATGAAAATTTAATAAACCTATTAATGGATGTGATTAGTATAGTATATATAATTATATATAGACATGTATATCGTGCTTTATTAAAGTTAAAACTTTATTAGGTTTGGTTTTGATCAGAGATGATCTGCTTATTGGTTTTCAGAGGCCTGGTAGAGTGAACTTGCTCGTAGGGTTTAACCCACGATTTATTTTTCAGGTTATTAGAGGTTCCAGTCTCGAGGTTGAGGATCCGCAGTTAGGAGACTGTCATTCGTCTATTCATCTTGTGTACTTTTAAATAGTATTGGATTATTGGATAATGTTTTAAGGAGTCCTTGAGTTATGGGATTTCCGAATTGTAATTGTTGGAGAATCATTAAGTAATATTTATTTATTAGTTTTCTTCAGCGGTTTATTTATTCTTTATTATTCATCTTTGTATTCTGTGCTTGTTAAATACTTAAATTGTTTTGATATCTCTTGATTTTGTGCGCGGACTTGATCAACCCGTGTTCCAAAATTACGGGGTATCACAAGAATCCCTAGCAAGACTAATTTTAGCAGCTTTATCAATATCAATAATCTTCCTTTATCCCAAACCTCCTTCCTCTTTAGGCATTGTAAGATTCTTCCACCGGAGCCCATGCAGCTTCTTTCTGTTTTCAAGGTGTCCCCAAACAAAGTTCCTCATTTTTCTCTCAATCAAATTTGAAACAGCAGCAGGAAGGGAAAAAACTGAAGTCCAATACTGCACCATTGGAATAATCACAGCTCTGCTCAATTCCACTCTCCCAGCCATTGATATATTCAGACCATTCCATCTAGAGGTAACAGCAATTACTTTATCAACCAAATTAAGGTATTCAACTCTTCCCAGCAATTTATCAGAAATAAGGAGCCCCAAGTAAGTGAAAGGAAGTTTTCCTACCTTACACCCTAAAGATCTAACAATAGCATCCCTTCTTCTCACTGATTTTGTAAGAAAAACCTCTGATTTGTCCTTATTAACAGCTAAACCTGAGGTTTTTTCAAACTGAATCAACAATCTCTTGACAGTTAAAATTGAAGCCATGTTAGCTCTGACAACCAATAATAAATCATCAGCAAAAAACTGATGAGTGATTGGAATTCCAGCCTTGACAGCAGCTACTAAAGGAACCACAATCCCATTTCTAACCTCCAAGTCCATCATACCTGAAAAATATTCAATAAACAATAAGGGGGATAAAGGACACCCCTGTCTTAATCCTCTTTCAGGCTGCAAAAATCCCTAAGGAGATCCATTAATAAGAATGGAAAACCAAAGAGATGAAATACATTCTTTAATCCAAGCAATCCACTGATCACCAAATCCAATTATATTATCTTGGATCCTTCTATTCTGAATGAAAGCAATTTGTTCACTGCCCACAATCCTCCCCAGAACCTTAGATAATCTGTTTGCAAGTATCTTAGCAATGACTTTATAAAAAGTATTACACAGAGATATAGGCCTGAAATCCCCTACTGTAATTGCATCCTTTTTCTTCTGAATCAAAGTAATGAAAGTGTTATTAGTACCTCTACCCAAAACTGGCTGCTTGAAAATTTGTAAAATAACATCAGTAAAGTCCTCCCCAACAATAATCCAATAATGTTGAAAGAATCGAGCTATAAAACCATCTGGCCCTGGAGCTCTGTCAGACTTTTTTTAATATATCCAAACAATAAGGAACAAACATTCTTTGTCTTTTTTTTTTTTTTCCTTGTTTATCAAGTACAAGCTTGGAATTCATTTCCTTCTCAAACAAGGAATCTTTAAGCAAATAAGAAGCTTAGTTTGATTTGAATGCGCTAGGGCCGACTTTGCTTATAAATTCACACCTACTACCATGCAACCATTAATTACCATTCATGGGAGAGAGGGAGTTCAACTTCAGGCACACTGATTAGCAAACTATAAACTCATTGTTTTGTTTTTTAGGGATCCTGTTCTATCATCAGTGCCGAGAGCATGCGAACAATATAGTCTATCTCCCCATAGGCCACCAAGAAGAAATCGGTTGGGTAGAACCGTAGAAGAAACCAATTGGCAACTCACTGAAACTGGCTGAAGTTTGGTCGACGTTGTTTGGTTGGAGCTCATGTCGGTCATTACTGAAACACGCCGAAAAACATGGAGTTTGACCGTTGAAGCTCAAGTTTTTGGGTTGAGTAGATTGAAGCTTCATGGACTTGTTTTATCCCTGAAGATCGGTGAAGATTCTTGCCAGATTTTCTCGCCAAAATTAATGTTTTGCCCAACCACGAGCACGCCGAGGCTTCTGGGTCTGTTAATGGAGGTCTACCAGAACCATTGACGAAGCTTGGTTGATCTCTGTTCTAAACTGAAGGTACAAATAGACCGAGAACGGTGGCAAGATTGTTGTTACATGACCAGTCAGGTACTAGTTGGCGATCAATAACTCCGTTCAGCCACACCTCGGCAGCAAGCTGACTTTTTTTTTTTTTTTTTTGGTTTGCAGAGATTCCTTGCATGAACAAGTCCTTGCATGTTTCCATTGCTTCCTTCCAAATTCAGAAAAGAATGAAGAGTGATATTTCAATTGAAACCCATGTTGGTCCTGTGATGAATACTTTGCTTCCGGCTTTGACTATAACTTCACACGCGTATTGAATTACCATCCATGGGGGAGAGAGTTGCACATTCAGAGTAGTAGATTCGCAAGGTGGTTTCAGAAAAGAATTCCGGCTTCAAGAAGTCAGACTTCTCCATGAACTCAAACCAAGAGTGGTAACCATGACGACGGACTACACCCCGCACTAGATCCTACTAGATTTCCATTGTGCCATTCAAGACATCCTTTGCATGTGCCAGAAACGTAGCTCATGGGCAAGCAGAAGTACCAAGGTTGTTATTTTATTTATTTATTTATTTATTTTGTACGCTTTTTTTTTCTTTCCTTTTTTTTTTTCCTTCCTACTTTTTTTCTCTCTCTTTTTTTTTTTTTTTTTTTTTTTTTGCCCTTTTTTTCGCATTTTTTTCCACAATTCTTTTTCACGCCTTTTTTTTCCTTTCCTTCTTTTTTTTTTTTCTTTCCTTTTTTTCTTCTCTCTTTTTTTTTGCACGAATTTTTTTTTCAGCCTTTCCTTTTTTGTTTTTCTTTTTTTCACACTAGAATTTTTTTTCCCTTTTTTTTCTCTTATTATTATTATTATTATTATTTTTTTATTTTTATTTTTATTTTTTTTTTTCAGGATTTGAAAGGACCTTTCCTACTAACATCAACGAGAATTTTGTCAACCGTAGCAGAAATTGAAATCCTCTTTCTAGACAACATCGATCGAGCTTCAAAATCTGTTGTTATTCCACCATGGTGGTATTCAAGTGTTTTATAAAAGCAAAAGATGACTATCTTAGAGAGCGAAAATAGTCGAAGAAGTCAAGGAACCACATTAAGCGTATTCGACTCACTTCTCGGTCGCAATGCCATTCATATGCCTGATCCTGATAATGAACATTGTTCTTCTCATTGGACACACATTCAAATGCCTGATCCCGACAATGAACATTGTTCTTCTCATTGGACACGCAAGGCTAAAGGCTATCTCACCAACTTTGGTCTTCATCAGATTAATGAAGAATCTATTGTCATGGAAGCCTTGATATTAAATTCTTTACTTCATGATAGAATAATTGAGGAAAACATCCGACTCACTTCTCGGCCGCAATGCCATTCATATGCCTGATCCTGACAATGAACATTGTTCTTCTCATTGGACACGCATGCAAATGCCTAATCCTGACAATGAACATTGTTCTTTTCATTGGACACACAAGGCTACAGGCGACCTCACCAACTTTGGTCTTGATCAGATTCATGAAGAATCTATTGTCTCAAAAGCCTTGATATTAAATTCTTCACTTCATGAGAGAATAGTTGAAGAAAAGCAGTTTTCATTCTTGGGTCTCAACATTCAAGCGAAGAAAGTATCATGGAGTATTCCCTATATACTTTCTGCTGAAATGCCACACACCGAACTATATTGGGAATGGTTAGAAGATGTCTTGGCATGCTTCCATGACTTCCTATCAAAATAACAACTAGATGGTGCTCTATTCGCCTCCCTATTTTCATATGCCCAGCCACTAATACTCTTCATTGTTCTATTGGCGAGCTGTCAAATTCCTTTGAGATTTATATATGATAGGCGGTCTCCCTCTTCAAGGAAGAATTGACGAAATTATTCCTTGTGCAGAAGAACTCCTGTCAACGTGAAGACAATGAAAAACTCCCTGAAGACTAGCGAATAACTTTGTCAACGTGAAGACCGGCGAAGAACTCCTGTCAACGTGAAGACCGGCAGAGAACTCCGTCAACTTGAAGACCGGCGAAGAACTCCGTCAACTCCAGTAACCGAACCATAAGCATCCATGTTCGCATGCATGTACAGTTGATTCCGATGCCGTCTTGCGAGCCTACCGTTCTCATTGACTTCAGTGATTCTCTCAATTTCAGGTCCTCATCACCGACCATGAATATCCATCGCCGATGCGTGAGCCAGTTCTTTGGTCACCATCTTGTTTTCTATTCTCAAGCTGGCCGTCCTCCTTTCTTGCCAATTCAGTCACGCCACCAATAGTTCCCCTCGCAAGGCATATCTTTTCTTGAAAAACAATCTGATAGACATTTAAAGCAACTGCACAAGCAGCCGCTCTCGTCACGACTCATGTCTGCACCTTCGTGTTTTAGCCCTTGCTCATCGGCAGGTCACTCGTCATATAATTTTCTGCTGCATTATTTTCCTCGGAGTTTGTTTCCTCTTTGGAATGATGCCTAATCTATCCTCCCTTTTGAGTTATGACAAAATGATGAATTTAATTTATTTATTTTGCCATTCACAGTTTATACTCTTGCGGGCCAGGAGTGATTTTTTTTTTTTTTTTTCCATCCTACTGAACTTAGAATGAAATTTTAAGCTGCCTACGTACCCTCAAACGAGGGATCAAGTCATCACGTAGTTCAAAAGAGACAATTTTTTTTTTTTTTTTTTTTGGGTGCCGTACACAATTTTAGCTCATGCGGGCCAGGAGCATAGTGCAGTTTAAGCTCGTACGATCAGAAGCATAACCTTCATGGGTAGTAGCGCTTCAAGAATTTGCCATTAATGGGCCCCACTCTTACTCCGTCTTCATCAATAATGAGATATGCGTCGTTTGTATAAACTTCACGAACAACATATGGTCCATCCATTTAGATACAAATTTACTTCCCTTACGATTCATGACAATTAGTCTCCGAACAACAAATACTAAGTCTCAAACTTGAAATGACCGAGGTCAAACTTTCTTATTGAACGCTTTAGAAAGTCGAGCTTGATAACACTCTAGCTGTTGTTGAGCTTCTAATCTCTTCCCATCCAATGCTTCCAATTCTTGAAGACGTAAGATGGCATTTTCTTCACTTGTAAGACCTTATATGGCTATCCTTAACGAAGGGATCTGTTGTTCCAATGGAAAAACTGCTTCTACGCCATAAACAAAAGAATACGGAGTTGCTTGAGTAGGTGTACGATGTGTAGTGCGGTATACCCACAATGTTTCTTCCATTCGCTTATGCCAATCTCTCTTTGTCTGGTTGACTACCTTCTTCAATAACTCACAAAGAGTTTTATTGAATGCTTCCGCGAGACCATTTGTAGGGGCATTGTACATGAAGGATTTACGTTGTTTGAAGTTAAACTTCTCACAAAGGTCAGTTACCCAACTATTTTTGAAATTTGTCCCTTTATCAATGATGATGTATTGAGGGACACCATATCGATAAATAAGGTTGGACTTGATGAAATCAACCACTGTTTCATTTTTCACATGTTTATAGGGTGCAGCTTCAGCCCATTTAGAAAAATAATCAGTGGCAGCCACGATATACAAGTGGCTCTTTGAAGACTTTTCTAGAGGACCCACTACATCTAAACCCCATGCATCGAATGGCCATGACGTCACAGTAGAGTGTAACGGCTCCGGTGGTTGGTGTATGAAGTTAGCATAGAATTGACAGGCTTGACACCTCTTCGCATACTCCAAGCAGTCTTTGACCATGGTGGGCCAATAACAACCTATTCTTTTGATGCAAAAGTGAAGCTTTGGACCAGATTGATGGGCTCCACAAATCCCAAAATGTGCCTCCTTCATTGCATGAGTTGGTTCGTCATTTCCAAGGCAGCGAAGGAAAAGGCCCTCATATGAACGCCTATACAACGTATCATTGTAATAGATGAAACGAGGTGTTCGTCTTCGTATTTCAGTCTTGTAGCGTATATCTTCGGGAAGCTTTCCATGTTCCAGAAAATCAATGATAGGGAGCCTCCAGTCTTCTTCCTCTTGTGTCCAACAAGAAACCAAATTATTTTCTTCAAATTTATCTTCCAGGACTTGTGGCAAGACCATCGTTGACATACAGGAACATCAACCAGGTCCTCATCAATTAACGCCAATGTTGTAGCTAAATTTGCCAAAACATCAGCTATCCGATTTTCTTTCCTTGGAATGTGTTCTAGCATGACGCTATCAAACCGTTCCAACAAATGAGAGGCATAACGATGGTACGGCACTAGATCATCTTTCTTAACCTCATATTCTTTAAGAAGTTGGTTAATCACCAACTTAGAGTCTCCATATATTTCAAGATTCGTAATCTTCATCTCATTCGCTATTTGAAGGCCGATGATCAGGGCTTGATATTCAGCTACATTATTTGAGCAGTTTTCAGCGAGTGCAAAAGAGTATGGAATAACATGTCTTTGTGGAGAAACAAAAACTACGCCTGCTCCGGCCCCGTCTGATCGTGCTGCCCCATCGAGGAGAAACAAAAACTACGCCTGCTCCGGCCCCGTCTGATCGTGCTGCCCCATCGAAAAACATCATCCATGGAGGGAGGATGTCCACAAGGAAGACTTCTTCATTGGGAAAATCTTCAGAAATTTCCCAATCGGCTGGAATAGGATGATCAGCTAAGAAATCTGCTAAGACTTGTCCTTTCACTGCTTTTCGTGGCACATAAACAATTTCAAATTCATTGAACAAAATTGACCACCTCGCCAAGCGTCCGGAAAGGACCGGTTTAGACATGACATATTTAAGAGGATCAACTCTTGCAATAAGATGTATCGTATGAGCCAATAAATAATGCCTCAATTTCTTAGAGGTGAAGACAAGTGCGAGGCATGTTTTTTCAATTGGAGGATAATTTCGCTCCGTCGGGGTGAGTCTGCGACTTAAGTAATACAATGCCTTTTCTTTATGTTCTTCATTATTCTGAGCAAGTAAGGCACTTAGCGATTCTTCTTGCGCAGCAATGTAAAGTATGAGCGGCTTTCCAGGTATAGATGCTCCCAATACCGGAGAATTGAGAAGGTACTTTTTGATACTATCAAAAGCATTTGGTATGATTGGTCCCAATTAAATGGAACATCTTTCTTCAGGAGTCGGTTAAAAGGCTGACAACGACCAACTAAATTTGAGATGAACCGACGAATGAACGCAAGTTGACCTTGTAAACTTCGAAGCTCACGTAAATTCTTTGGTGGCGGCATCTTTTGAATGGCCTCAACTTTATTAGGATCAATCTCAATACCACGATAACGAACGACGTATCCCAAGAATATCCTTGAAGTCACACCAAATGCACATTTAAGGGGATTCATCTTGAGCTGATATTTTCGGAGGTGATTAAAAACTGTACGTAGATCCTGTAAATAATTTCTTCGCTCTTTCGTCTTTACCACCAAGTCATCAACATAACATTCAACAATCTTGTGGAGTCTGTCGTCAAAGATCCTTTGTATGGCACGCTGGTATGTTGCTCCCTCATTTTTGAGTCCAAAGGGCATAACTTTGTAGCAATATATACCCTTAGGAGTGCGAAAAGCAATTAGCTCCTCATCTTTTGGAGTCACTCTTATCTTATTGTACCAGGAATAATAATCCATAAATGAGAGATCTTCATGCCCCGTGGTTGCATCTACAGTGAGCTCGAGGATGGGAAGAGGAAATCATCTTTTGGGCATGCCTCATTCAAATCATGAAAGTCCACACAAATTCGAATCTGTCCATTTTTCTTCTTCACTAGAACAATGCTCGAAATCCATGTTGGATATTTGACTTCACGAATGAACCCTACTTTAATCAATTTGTTGAGTTCTTCCTCTATCCTCGGAACTAGTTCTGGACAGAAGAAACGTGAGACTGCTTAATCGGATGTGTCCCATGTTTGACAGTGAGATTGTGCACTGCAATTTTAGGATCAAGACCAGGCATTTCTTTATATATCCAAGCAAAGACATCTTTGTACTCAGATAACAATTGAAAGTAATCAATTTCTTCTGAGGGGCTTAGGAATGCACTAACGAAAATTGGTTTGGGCTGATCATCAGTCCCTAAGTTGATTTCCTTAAATTGATCAACAGAAGCCTGCCCCCCGTCTTCTAATGTTGGTAGAGCTTTCTCAATTTCATCTGTTTACTTAGAGTCAGGTTCATCTTCAACAGTAATGTGGTATGAAGTAACACAAGATGATTCGCCAGTGTTTTCCGTTCTCTCTACTTTTTCTGATTGATTAGTGAATACAATGATTCGCCTTCAAGCTTTTAGTGTAACATCATTGGTGACCTCTATCTCTGTCTTGCGTATCATTCGCGAAGGTACTAGACTTTGAACTTCACTATTATTCACCACGTCGATGTTAACTTCCTCTGACTTTCCACTATTGCTGCTTCTTAACGGTATATCTTTAATAGTACCAATCCGAGAAAATACTGTCTTTCGAGATTGAGGTTGTGGAGATTTTCTTCTTTGGTTATGAAAGCTCATTCTGTTAAAAACAGAGGTACGAGGCAAACTGTTGACATGAGAATTTGAAACATTTGACTTTTGACTTGACAACCTGTTGAATACAGATATTCGATCACATAGAGCTCCTATACGATCGAAGACTGATTTTTGATGCATAGTCTGTTGGTTTTGTTCATCGTCAACTTCTTCAAACCCAATGTATAAAGTGTTTGACTTCTTATCCTTTTTTGTGATTTGAATTCGAAGTGGCTCAGAAGCTACAAAACTGAGACCGGACTTGGGTGGAATGATCTTATGCCCTTGTTCTTTCAACTTCTTCTGTGTCTCATTGAGGCCATGCACTTTCTCACCGGTGACCTCAGAATTCAGTTTTCCAAGGTTTGCAGGATTTGTAAAATCATACCCCGACTTAGCCATAAGTTGGTATGCTTTAGGATCGAATCCTTCATCAGTCCTTTGTTTTCAAAGTGATCCATGATCGACCAGAGATTGAGAAGGCCGCACAAACCCTTTTAAAGGAGACTTGAAAGGCAAAGACTTTTGAATCTTAGTGAGAGGAAGAGTTAACTCTCCTTGCAGCTTTTGCATATCTTCTTTTTCCTTGGTTTGTGACATCTTCAATTTAAATTCCTTGGTTTCAATTATCTCGATGACAGGTGACTGCCCTTCTTGTCGTTGAGATTTTGGAACATACTTTAAAATAGGCTTCGTCCGATGTGCTTTTATCGAGACCCCTCGCGTTTTAGCTACCTTTACAATGTCTGTCACTGGAACATTTAATGGATCACTTAACGCTTCTTTTGTTTTTGTAGATTGAATCTCTTGTGTAGACGGATGGTTTGGGATGGGCACTTCCGAAGGTGTATCAGGATCGATATAGAACTTGGCATCGACAAAATGAGATTCTATTTTTGTAAATGGTTTATAGTCCGCCACAACCGTTTGTACGCCATTCTTATAGAATTTGAAGTACTGATGAAGAGTTGATGGAATGACACAATTACTATGTATCCAAGGCCGTCCCAACAACGAATTGTAGGACGTCTTTGCACCAATAACATGGAATAAAGTTTCAGCTTGGAGCTCGCCAATAGTTAGCTTTGCCCGAATCATGCCAATAGCTCTTTTTCCTCCTTGGTTAAAACCTTAAATAATAAGACAGCTAAGAGATAACTCATCAACTGTGATGCCAAGATTTTTCATCGTAAATTTTGGCATAAGATTCACCGCTGATCCACCATCAACAAGAATTCGAGTAACTTTTTGTTCTTGTATGTAACCGGAAACGAAGAGAGGACAATTATGCGGCTTTGAACCCAACTGAAGATCCCCGTCAGTGAAAATAATTGGTGCATAACATGAATCAAGCATACCTCCGACTACTTCCTCATTATTGGGTTTTTCAATGATGGCAGCATCACTTGCATGATTCTCCACAGTCTGGGCTTCATCTTGATCCTTGTTATTCTCACCATCAGGGCTCGTTTTAGTGGAAACCATGTAAGCTGTCACAACTTCGTCATCTAGATATCCTTCTGGAAAGAACTCTTGCAAAGTAATGGGCTTCTGGATCCTTTGGCTTATAGAGGCGTGTTTGGTTGACTGTGTCTTCTTGACCCATTTTCTGTTATGGCTTATAGACTGCTTATGGCGATATTGAGGTTTCTTCTTCCTTTGCCCCCTATCAGAATAACTAGTCTGAAAAATGTCAGCTCGTTGCTTCGGTGGTTTCTTTCTTGTCACCAGAGTCCATCCTTCTTCATCATCATGGGGAAAGACCCTTCCAATACGTCAAGTGCACTCCCTTTGCCAAGAGAGATTGGGATTGGTTCCAATGAGCCAAACTGGATGGTTGTGCAATATACCTCAAAAGTTGAAGGTTGAGAACGAACACTCCCCACGACAGAGATTGTCAAAGTAACAGTAGTATGCTTTGAAGTTACAACTTTGTCCGTGTCCAACAAGATTTTTCCTTATTTTGCCAGATTCATCACCACCTCCTTGAAGATAAAACACTTCTTAATTGGATGACTGATAATACGATGATATTTGCAGTATTTTGGATCACTGACACGTCCCATCTCTTGAGGGCGTTTGCATTCAGGGAGTTCTATAACTTTACTTTCGAGTAAACATTCCAAGATGCCAGGGACATCGGAATCGGGGAAGAGGTATTCCTTCTTCTCTAACTCCTTTAGTGTAGGACGCTATCTTTCCCTCTCTTAAAACCGGCGAGGCTTTTTATCATCCTTCTTGTCATTTTTAACAGATATTTTGATTGAGGTGGTTGAGATAGCCATGGAATCTTTAGCAACGGTCTTTGACGACTTATCGCCCTTCTTCCAGTCTTTCTTATCCTTGCGTGGTTCTATGGCCACGGGACCTTTGCCGTCATGGGATTTCATACCAATCTCCATGTCATGGGCACGCGTAGCCAATTCTTCAAATGTGTGAGGTTTATACCTTGCAGAATGTAAAGAAGGCCCCAATGCATTCCCTGCATACACATTTCCACAGCAGAGATTTCTAACAATCGGTTATTACAGTCAAGACTGAGTGCTCTTCACCGATTAATGTAGTCGATTACAGGCTCATCCTTCCATTGCTTCGTGTTAGTCAACTTTATCATACTAATAGTACGACGAGTGCTATAAAACCTGTTCAAGAATTCTCGTTCTATTTGGTCCCAACCATCAATTAACTCTAACTT